GGGAAAGGGGATGGCTTCACTCTGTGTGTATTGTGGAAGGGGAAGACTTCTTGGTTCAGATGCCTAGAAAGACCCTCAGAACTAAGGGCTGTATTTGAAGGAGAGGTAGAGACACCAGGGTGTACTACTTATGCACTTTGAGGTGGCATGAACAGGTCTGGATCTGGTATAGTATTTTCTCAGTGTCTGCTCTCTACCTCAGCCTAGATATAGATGCTCTGCCAGGTTAATAGCACCAGTGGCAGAGGATTTACAAAGCAGCTTTAGGGTGACCCAGTTCTGGGGAGAAAAGGGATCATGGCTGCGTGCTACTGAAGGAACAGATGTTTGAGACTTCATCTAAAAACTGTATGCTCAGAGAAGATGCACAATCCAGGATCATTATAAAAGGCACAAAAGAAATCCTCAGTGTCAGCTGCAGGTGAGAAAATAACACTGTATTTGCCCATTATTGGCAAACTTGAGAAAGACAGGTGGTAGTTTTTCATTGTTAGTTTTCTTGTTTGTTTGAGAAGTGATGCTAAAACACAAGCCTTGGCTTGACAAACACTTTCCATTATCAATATCAGAAATTTCTGAAGTGCATTCTCAGGTGCCCTATGGCAGCTGACTGCCTTGCCTTACAGCAGAGCATAACAAACACTGGCATTTATCCCAGCTGTGAATCCTTCCAGTCTGGGAAGGAAACGTTACACAACATTGAAGTTAACTAACTGGAAGCATCAAACATTTTGAATGGGTTGTGCCAAAACATTTCATTCCAATATTCAGCCAAGCTGAAGTGTTTACGCACTAACAGATTGAGTTGGTTAAAAAAAACCAAAGCCAAAACAGAAACAAAAAAAACACCAAACCACAAGGCTTTGGCTTGTTTGGTTTCAGTATAATTTCACAACGTATGAGTTGCCAGTGTCATAATCTCTCCTTTCCTTCTAAGGAGCATGCTTCCTATTCTGATCTCACATGTCCAAATGCCTGAGATCCTCGAGTGAAAATTATTCACTCTGAAGAGTCAATGCAACTTGTAATTACTGGTAAGGAAGAATATTCATGGCAGAGATTGGGAGCACAAGATAAATTAAGCAGACAGGTTAATCTAAGCTTGCTCAGAACAACACTTCTAGATTTCTCCAAAGGGAGAAGAAACCGTTTCAAACAGATTTCCTGGAGTACTCATCCTTTTACAAAACCTTCTTTTTTCTGCTCAGATGCTAACCTTGGAAACTCATTTCACTGATGGCAATATCCCGTTCATGTGGGCTTACATTATCAGAACAACTGATTTGCACACAGCCCCCATAGTAGCTGATAACTGGAAGAGCCAGAGGAATGCTGGATTTTTCCGTTCCTTCTGGCATTGGCATCACAGCAGACAAAGTCTTTGCACAAAGTTGACTAACCAGAAATCTCTGTGTGGAGGCTTGACTTTTTCAGATATATATTGCTGGATGAAATAAGAAATCTCTTTAGTCTAGTAACTCATCTGTTGCAGTGTCAACTTCAAACACTGCACTGTGGGAACAAGAAGTAGGTAGATACATGTTTAGCTGCTCCTTACAAGGCAAGATCACTTTTTTTTATGAGGTGTCTTTCACAGTTGAGGTCAGACTGTATTCAAGCATTTTCCTATGAAAGATGGAGCTGGCAATGCCCATACTATGCATTCTATTTTCATTGTCCTCAGTGGCTTCTGTGACCCAATTTAGTCTAATAAAGAAAAATATTCAGTTTATTAGTTTTTGGATTGGTGGCTCATAAAGTTCTTCTCCTGTGGGCATTCGTAGCCCTTAATTTTGCTCTGGAGAAGGCTCTTGCATTTGCAGCAAGGATACATTTAAGTGTATACACACACTAAAAGTTTAAATGATGTTATAGCTCAACTTAGCAATGAAAAAACAATTTCAGATACCACAACACACAGAAGAGGTAATTTTTTAAAAACTAAAGCTGCAGACCAACTGGCTGAGCTTAAAGGTAAAAGATTAATTCCATTATGATGTTTTTAAGATAGTTCATGTTTTCTGTCGTATTTATGCAGCACAGTAACTGCTTTATTTGTTCCTTTACAACATTACCCCCCATCTTTTCAGCAATAGTCAGTATTTTATAATGCTGTTATCCAGCTTTTCATTATTTTTAATGCTTGAGCACACTACAGTCTGGCCAGACCACAGGTAATCCAAGGTAACAAGAAAAATGCATGGCAATTAGTCTCTAGCATTTGGCTACATGTTGACTACCCTGAAAATGGGTAAGTGGAAAGTTTGGCCATAAACTGTAGATGCTTGTGAGCTGAAGTAAAAACAAATGGCTTCATTCTACAGAAGAGATGTTGGGCCAGTTCGAGTCTTCTGGGGTAGCACAGCCTTCAGGTGAAGCAAAGCTACATTAGGTGCGATCGCAAGCAGCAGGAGATCAAGCCTTGCTAGGTCTCAGGAGAGAAAATTACCAAGTGGTCTAGCAGTTGAACAAGATGCTTAGTTTTCTGTATTCCATATAAGAAGGTACAACTCAACATGACAGCAGAAGACAGAGATTACTGACGAAGGCAGCATCAGAAGAAAGACCAAAGCAAAGCTTCTGATCACTTGTGGTCATTAAGATGTCTCATGGTTTATGATAAATGTGGGTAGGCAAATGTTGATGTTCTAACCAAAGTATTAAGCAAGACGGAGCTGAGCAAGAACAAGTTGCTTCTGGACATACTAGGTTTAGAAGCCCTAAGCCATTGCAACCTGGCTGGCTGAGCACTGGAAGTGAAGGTGGGAAGGAAGGGAAAGACAAGAAAGTGCTCCTCAGCTCTGATATCCACATTGCTAGATAGGGACACTGCTACATCTTGTGAGTGGCTGAGAGCATCATTACAATGTGTAGCAGAAAATGTTTAAGGAGATGGAATAGCAAGATAGAGTCACTTGCTACTAGGTAGGCTTTTGACATCTGAGCTGTAAGCCTGTATTGCACAATTATTTCTGCAATGGGTTCAGAAGCATGTTCAGACTTCCTTAAAGACCTCCCGTACTTAAGCCTTACCTTAAAATAAGGTTGGTTATACAAAAATCCATATTTAAAGCAAGTTTGTTGTGGGTTTTAAAAATTATTTAACAGACAAGAAATTTCTGTAGGAATCTAGGATTTTTCTTGGACTTACATTAACAGTTCCACATAACGAACGTTTTTGTTCAGGGCTTCAATTTCTTTCATCTCTTTTTCACTGAGAGTGAAGTCAAAGATCTAATGGAAAGAGATGTTAGGAATAAGTATTTCTGGACACAATCAACTTTCATATGTTCCAGATTTCAGAAGTCCAGTTCCCCCTCCTCCCTACTGTCTCCCCTAGAAATCCATACTTGCATGCATTTATAGGAAAGTCTTGAGCATGTGAGTAAGTCCAGTCACGTTTGCTTTATGCTCTCTTGCAAGAAGAGAAAGGTAGTCTGGTGAGTACTGAGCTACCAGCTCTGGAAACAATACACTGGTAGGGCAAATGGGGAGCAGTGTAGGCATTGAGTCCTGCAAGGGACACGGGAATAAATGTTCCACCTTATTTGGGATTGGTGGTCAAGCCAGATGTTTTCTGATGGTATGGTTATGAGTTTTTCTGGCACGTCTCTATGCAACAACCCTTTCTTAACAAAGCTGCCCCATACCTAAAGACCACGCAGAACAAGTCAGCCATTCCCAAACACCTACAACCAACCACCTTGGGTTGCCCATTTGCTGAGTTACTTCATCTTGCTTGTGCTGTTCACTGCACCAACACCAGGTGGAACTTTAGCTACTCCAGCAGATTAAAAGACACCAGAATTTTCTCTCTTCTCTATTACTGGCACATCAATGGACCATGAAGTGACGGAGACAAAAGAAGTCATATTTGGCAAAGTGTTATGTTTAGAGAAAGAAATGGGAAAATTGTCTTTTATAGGGGCTAAGCCAATGTAAATGGATTCATCCATGCACCATTGGAGTACAAATTTACCTGGAAATTCTCTCTGATGCGTTGTGGATTGAAGCTTTTTGGGATGACCACCACCCCTCGCTGGACGTTGAAGCGCAAAGCAACCTGTGCAGCTGTCTTGTTGTACTTTTTGCCTATGGCATTCAGCACAGGATCCTTCAGTAAAGGAGGTGAGGACACATTTACCCTGGAAGAATATTGTAGAAAAGAAAAGAAAACACAAACCTCCTTATCTTTAATATCTAAGCAGAGGCATCTGCTTGTTCATGGACAGCATGCTGCACCTTGTTAAAAAGTAGTGTGAAAGGTGGGAGAAAAGCTTTAGCATTTAGGCTGATGGGCTGTCAAAGGTAACTTCTTATGTGTTGTCCTAACATTGACTTAGTTTCTACTTTCTCACCTAAGCCTCAGCATTCCCAACTACAGACACTTTCTGTTAGGGGAGACCTAGGGTGATCTCCTGTACCTGTACACCTGGCATTTTTTTTTCATATGACACCATGCAGCAGGAGTGTTGCAAATTTAGATTCACAACAGTGATATTTAGACACTGAAGTTCCAAGCTACTTTGAAAAATGTGGGTAAAAATATTTTGCAGAGAGATACAGCAATGGAGAGCTATTAATCTTTTCCTGGATAGTGACCCTGTTATCAGAGACTAACATGGAAACTTACCATGATGCATCCCTTGATGTTCCCAGTGGGCTGTATCCAACAATAACAATGTCATGTTGTCTGCAAAATTCTAACAATTTGGGTTGGGTGAAATAGGGATGGCATTCAACCTATAAGAGTAAAACGGAAAGAATGATTAATCAACAGGATCAAATGCAGAAGGAGATGGTAACCTAATATTTGAGAGAGTTACAGACCAGATTGTGTTTCCAAGAAAGGATATATATAAATTAAGGAACAGAGAAATTCAGCCTGTGGTTGCTGTTCTGAGTGTACATTGCTGTGTGAAGGATTTATTTTTAATTTTTTTTGGTGGACAGCAGATCAACATCTGCGATCATAATTTTGCTGAAGGGAGTTTTTATTGGCCCCTGGGGAAAGGTGACAATAAGTGAGGGGATGGAGGTGAAGGAAGATCACTGGAGAAGCAGGCTGAAAAGGCAACCCATCTCATGTGGGTCAGATCTTTGTTTCTCTGCCTCTTGCACTCAGAGCAACTAATTTGATGATGTTTTTAGGGAAAATGTTGGCATAAGCTGTCCCAGCTAGAAGGCGGGAGGGAATATGTAAAAGGTGAGACATAGAATAGTTGGGGTTGGAAGGGACCTTAGAGATCATCTACTTGCAACCCCCATGCATGGGCAGGGGCACCTCCTGCTAGAACTGATTGCTCAAGGCCCCATCCAATCTGGCCTTGAACGCTTACAGGGAGGGGGCATCCACCACTTATCTGGGCAACCTGTTCCAGTGTCTTATCACTTTCACAGTAAAGAATTTCTTCGTAATATATCATCTAAATCTACCTTCTTTCAGCTTAAAACCGTTCCCCCTCATCCTATTGCTACATGTTTTTGTGAAAAGCCTCTCCCCAGCTTTCCTGTAGGCCTTCTTCAGGTACTGGAAGGCAACTATAAGGTCTCCCCAAAGCCTTCTCCTTCCCATGCTGAACAACCCCAACATTCTCAGCCAGCCTTGTTAGGAGAGGTGCTTCTACATAACAGTTATGACCTTGTTACAGGCTCTGTCCTCCCAAACTGCAAATGCTGTGCATTACTCCTTTACAAGCATTGATTTCCTGGCTGTACTCTGTCTCTGGGAAAGGGATGTCTACAAGGTGACAGAGCAACCACTGTTTGTAGGCAGTCTGAAGCTAGCTACCTAAGCTGGGCTTAATCTTTTGCCCAGTCTTCCTTTGCCCCAGGAAGCAGCAGTAATGCTCAGTGCAGCTTTAGGGACACGCCAGAAACTGCAGTTTGTACCTGCTGGCCATGTTAATACCAGTGAAGGTTACTGGATTTTCCTCCTCTCCCAGGCTGCCTTTCCCTGCAGACCAAAGACAGGAATGAAGGCTATAGTCAGCCTCCCTACTTTGTCCATGCCACTCCCTGCCCTCCAGACCACAAGCTAGAGGTGGGAAGTTGATCTCAGTTGGTCTTTGGCCTCTCCTCAGACACTGCTAATGTGGATATTTGTTTGTGTCAGATGAGTCAGAAGATCTTCACAGTGTTCTCTAGGAAATGCAGGGACCTGTCAAATGCCAGTCAAAGGCATTGGGTGCTCGATGGGTCCCTGACACTTACACCTTCTCTCAGCCCCACTAGTGTAATGTGACATGGACATGCCTGTCATCTTCATGGGCTTGTTCAGCTGAAGTCAGTCACTTAATGGGGTCTCCTCTAAATTAGGTTATACTCTTAACTCTTACTGACGCTGTAAGATGTCATCTTACAGAAAAGGCACAAGAAAGCAAGTACAGGAATTATAGGAGTTACTTTTTATGGCTTTTAAACTTGGAAAGCTTAGAGTGATTCCTTGTACTTAGGGTTGTTTTGTTTTGTGTCAACTGAGGTAGACATGGCTTCATTGAGAATTGCTTAGCTTGGTATGGTTTGTCTTGGGAATTTTTTGAACATGAAGTAAGGTACATGGCAGAGATTTAAGATTGGCATTGACTCAGAGCTCAACTTGGTTACGGAGCTTGGCACAAAGGCACTAGTTTTAAAGTCTTGGAGCAGGAACTGAGGAAAGTGATTGTTCCAACAGCTTAAAATATTTATCTTTAGCCTAGATAGGATGAGTAATATTTTCAAACTAGGAAGAGTCACAATATGGAGGGCAACACCTGTGTCAAAGGGTATATCACCATTCTGCATGTGTCAGCTTAGGCCATGTGTTGCCTCTGTGTTTCCTACAGGGCAGTGGCACCACAGCAGGCACTGCCCTTGCCTTGCAGTCATACCTGGTTGCTGACAGGTTTGTACTTAAGTCCTGGCTTGTTCAGGATCATCTCCAGCTGCCTGCGGTTGAAATTGGATACACCAATAGACTTTGCCAAGCCTGCATCCTTACATGCTTCCATCGCCTGCAAAGAAAGAAAAGATTGGTGGATCCCACATGTTTGTTTGATTCCTTGGAGCAAGCATGTTAGAGATAGGTGGAAGATAATCCATTCTTGGGACTGCAAAAAACCCTCTTCTGCAGCAGAACCAACAGCTCTACTAGTGTGAGGGCTGGTGCTGCCCCCACTATTCTAATCTCCATTCCTGTGTAGATCCAACTTTCCAGACCAAACCCTAATGTTTTATACCTCCTGTGAAGGTCTAATTTTTCTGGAAAGCAGAAAGATTAATCTGAGATATAAATACTAAGTGCCAGACATCTGCTTTCAAAGCATTTCGTTACTTTATGCTGCTTTAGCACCGCCTCAAAGCTGGAAGAGGGAGAATGAGCAAAACAGATTGCTTTCCTGATAAGTCAATTTATTCCTTTTGATTGTACAACAGTTTTTCATAGGAAGTCTGTCTGGCAAAATCCCCTATATATCTGCCAAGGCACATCTCAAAACCAGCACAGAAAGTAGAGTATAAATTAGACAAAAAAAGGGGGAGTGGGGAGGTGGGGGAAGAGGAATTCTAGATATTCTTCACTTCACACAAATCCTAATAGCTGAGAAAGCCTTAAGAATGCTGAATATGAATACATGCCCTGGTCTTCATTAGCTTCATCTGCTGGGTGGTTAAGGGGAGAGAAGGTCCTTGCCTATGGGCTTCCCCTTTGCTTCCCAAAACTCTGCACACTAATGATTCAGTGACTTTGAGGCAGAGCAGACCTCACCATGAAGCTGGATGCCCTTCCTGCAGGTTTTGTTATTCCTTTCCATCTCACAGGAGCTGAAAGCGGGGAGGTAAGAGGCACCATGTTTTGAATGACCTCTAGTTGGCCTCATATGCTTTGTATCACCCAGTGACAAGTCAGCAAATATAGTCATCTGGAGCCGTTTTTGCCTGCTAGCACCATACTGAGAGAGTGAAGTTATCTGGATTGAGTTTATCCAGTTCTGTTTTGATTGATGCTATTATTTGCAGGCACACACCACCACCTATTCTTTTCTTGGCTTATTAATTGAAGACTGCTACAATATATCCTTTACAATAAGCACCAGCTTGAAGATAAAAAACTAACAGTGTTGGGACAGCTGTTGCTTTCAACGTTTGAGCAACTAGGCTGTCAAAGAGAGGAATGAACTGTATCAGCCAAAGACAAGGGTAACACAAACAGATATTGTGGAAGTCCCCATTCCCTTGGAGACCCAGCCAGGATGGCTTAGCTGCCAGGGGAAAGCCCAAATCCACCCTGGGATCTCTTCTGCTCTGAACTTTCACTCAGATTTTCACCCATTTCTTTATCTGCTGTACTTCGAGTAGAGCTAAATTGGGACACAATTCCTATCCAGCTCTGAATGGTGCAAGCTGAAGTGAAGCAGGTAGTAGCCCATGATGTTTCTCTTGGCATGAACTAGGCTGAATTAGGGATGCTTTTGCAGCAGATCTGGTACAGAGGGAGAGCTGACCAGCTTTGGCCACAAACTAAAGAATGTTCAAGGCTTTTGAAAGGCAGGAATGTAAGGAGATTGCTAAATTTCACTTTCTGCCTCACCTGAGATCCTGAAGCCAAGTGGCAGTAGGCTTAAGGAGACATCTGGCAAGAGGACTATAGCTCATCACAAACAACTTTAGGATGTGATCTTTCAGGCAAATGCTACTTCCCTCCAAGTTTTTATAGCAGAAATGCTGTGAGTTCTCACTTGAAAATTCAATTTAGAAGTTCTGATGGCAAAGAGTTTGAGGGGTTTTTTTGTTTGTTTTGTATTTGGGATTTCTTTTTGTTGTTGTTTTTGTTTTTTTTATGGTGAGCTTTAGGGCAAATACTATTTTGTCTTGAAGGTGAAAAGCTTCCTTTTTGAGGAGGATCCAGTCACATCTTAGGGCTCCAACCTTCTCCTCCTGTAAAGATCTGATGAAGAGGAGAGAGAGGTAAAAACCTACAGATACCTGTACCACGTGCACTCTCTGAAAGAATTAATGTGGATGTCAGGTATTTCAACCATGTGGTTTTTTGTTATAAAATAATTAAGTGATGGCAAGAAGCAACATCCCTAGGGACAGAAGCAGAGTTTGTCCATGGAGCTAGTACAAGTTGATCCCTTTGCCCTGCCAGTATGCCTCAGCTCTGTTTTTGAAGGCCATAAGTAAAACTGAGAATAAGGATCTGTGTGTTTAATGCATATACGGATAGATGTTGTGTTTGCTTACCTCCCAAGTGGCACATAAATCTGTCTCATGGTAGATAAATTTTCCATTTTCATCTTTTGGGTAGATTACATCTCCAGGCTGAAAAGTAAAACCACATTTTTTTGTTCATTGAAGAAAAAATGTCACTCTTCTGAGCAAAGATTTTTCCACACACTCTGTTTCTACTAGCAAACAAACCAACCAACCAAACAAACAAAACTGAATCAAAAGCTTTCTGAAACACCATGAGTTCAACAGGTCTTTCAAGCTGAGCTTACCACATCCTCCACTGCTGGGTCGTCCTTGGATACACTTCTGAACTGTCACGTGAGTGCACACTCAGGAGTTCCCAGATGGCCTTGTTTTTCAACAAAGTTTTGACCTTTATGTAATGGCATCCAAAGGACTAGTCTCCTTCCGAAGCGCTGGCTTCGATTATCAACCTCTGTATTCTTTTCCACTTCTTCCCAGCCCTTCCCCTGATCCTGCTCGTGTCCTAGGCACCTAGGGAGAGTACCAGCTCTCAACAGTTGGAGGGACCATTTCCAAGAGCTACTTACTGATAGTAAAGGGCCACACATCTAGCTACAGTATATGCTGAGAACCTCTTGAGTGGATTGCCACCTTTCTTTGGGCACCAGGAGCTCTTTCTTCCTATCTCAATGCCCCATAAACTAGACTTTAGAGCTGAGTTATGAGCTGGTATTTCAGGAGCACATCTTTCTCTTATTTGCTGGTCATTTCACTGCTGTTGCAGCAATGCATTAACAATTCCTTGCCTGCAATTACACTTTTTTCATAAAAACCCTTCAGTGATTATGACACTTGATCTGCCTGCAAACTGCTACATTTTAAAGGCCTGGGTACAAGATGTTGACATGGTAACTCCTTGGGAACATGCAGCTGTGACTAATATGATCAGCAATTGGTGCCTCCCAATTCAGTCAAGAAGTTCAAATTTAAGGCATCTCATGGGAAAAGTGAACCTAAGGAAAACAAAATCTCAGATTTCAGAGGCCAGGTCTAACTTAAAGGCATATGCCTGTGTCCTCCAAGTGTGCTGGTTTTCCTCAATGAATTCCACAAAGATGAATTGTTGCCTTTGTTTTGTTGAACAAAATAAAAATAATCTTGACTAGGAGGCAGATGGCTGTTGGGTACATTTTTCTATTAGAAGGCAAACTGTTTGCCATCATAAGTTGAGGTGGAGAAACCTTATTGACAAAACCACCCTGTGGTATTTTGAAACAAAAAATTCATCCCTGTGGCATGCCAACAGACTCTCCAAGGACTGCAAACTCAACACGTAGCAGTTGGACTACTTTGATTTCAGGAGCTGAGTCTGAATTCAAGACCTTTTCAGTTCTTTCCACTTCTAATTTATTAACTTCTGTTCAACACTACTTTTTTATAGTAGTCAATAAACACTTAATTACATTAGCTAATTCATCATCTCCCTGTTTCCCTCTATTTCTATCACTTGTATTCCAATAGCAAAGTCAGGATGATTGGGGCTTTAAGACAAACTTATCTTGACTGAGAGAAGTGGTACCATCTATCGTGGATTCCACATGGATCAATTCTTCCTCCAGGGAACTGCACAAGTTGTTTGAAGTACAGTTGTCTCTGCTCGATAGTATCCAGGCAATACTTTCTCTGCCAAGCTACATTTTTATGCAAGGAAGTTCCTGAATGGAAGAACTGTCTGCAGATGGATAAAGTGCTGAGAGAAAGGCAGTGTTTTGATGATGACAGGAAGGTGGTTCCTGGGTCTTTGAAAAGTTCTTTCAGAAGTCAATCACATTTCTCAGCTTTGGGTGCTCATGAACTACACTGCACCAGTCATGCCCACAAGTGCTGTTGTCTTCTCTTGTAGGTTTCTTGGAAAAAGCCCTTCACCTTAGACTGAACATAGAGTGGCTTCCTGCCGTGCTGCTGTATGAGCACTGAAATAAATGCAACAACACTGTACAGTCACTGCCACTATGCAAGGATCACATTGTGCCATGTCACGTTCAAAGTCTGGAAGCAGTCCAAAACCTGCTAGACAATTTACTTGCATATTTAAAACATGGCAGCAGGTAACCACTGAGAAGAAAAGATGTGCTCCCAATATAATAATTTTCTCACAACACAGATGCAGGAAGACAGGTGTGCACATCCCATTGCTTCCACAAAATGGTCCTTAACAAGAAGGCTTTCTCAAGAGAGCAATTTTAACAACTTGTGAGTGCCTACTGTATAAACAGAAGGCAATAGGAAGTCACATATTGAGGTCATTGGTCTGTTTTAATTTATTCTTTTAAAATGATTGGAAGATATCTGAATGAGACTCGTTCAATGTAAGGATAAAATAACAGCTTTCCTCCTAGATGACAGAATAATTTAGTTGGGAGGGATTTGGAGATCGTTCCGTGCACAGGTACCAGCTTATGGAGGGATCAGTCATCTGAGCACAGTCCCCTAGAAAACCTGCCAGTTGATATGAGCTCCTCAGGCAGAGGCCATGTGGTGCTCTGGAGGAAACCTCTTTCTGCTGGTCAACTCCCTTGCTAGGCTGGAGGGGCTGAGCACCATGCTGGGCTAAAACGAGGAAGAACAAAAATCCTGAACGGGGAATTTGCTTGAGGGAAAAATACAGGGATGATGCAGGCTAATGTTGGTAGATCAGTGAATAATGTCACCCCAGATGTCAGCCATTTTTTATTTACCCAAAAGTGCTGGCATGGTGGAGCATTCTTCCTCCAAGTGATGTTCTCTGAAAACAGATTCCTCTTAGTCTGCCTAAAAGCCCTTGTAACAGCTTGCACCTCTGGGCACTGCAGGGTCATGTTTCTTATGGGTTTCAAACTGGGACTGTAAGTTTTGTCTCAAGTACTTCACTGGTTTCAAACAGAGGCTGCTTTTGCTAGAGGGCTTTTGAGGAAACAGGAAAGCACAACCATTGACTGACTAGGGCAGAGTAGGAGTTTGTTAGCTTTATAGCTGCACCTTCCTTACCAAAGGCAAGCATTGCATGCAGGATCGGCGTATGTGTGAGAGAGGGAGCAAAGAAAGAAAACTTGTCACCATTGTAAAAGGATCTTTTTATAGATATATTTATTTTGTATACATTTTTTTTTAAGTTATTATTTGGCACAGAAAAATGTATATTTTTCAGGCAGAAAGGTGACTTCCTTTTTTCTCTCTTCTCACTGGGGACATGAATGAGTGTCTAGGACTGCTACTCCTTTAACAACTCAGATTGTTGATACAGGCCTCAGGGAGTCAGATGTACATTACTTTAAAGCCAGCTGTCTATATCTTTATATTGTGAGACAATGACCTCCACTATGTGGGAGAATGAACTACTAGAGAATAAAAACACAAGCAAAGGGAAACAGGAAATTGCAAGTTGTGGGAAATTTTACAAAATGTACCCAAAAGGATTCTTTATGTGGGACCATATAAATAAAGTTTTAATATCTGAGTCCAGTTGCTCCTATACAGGTCTTAATGGGATATTGCTTCCTTAGGGAAAAAGGAACTGGAAGTCTAAGGTTATTGTTTCATTGGTAAATTGCTTCCTATCTGCTGCTTCTGGAAGTTACTAGTCCTTAGGAAAATATAATTTTAATAATCAGAGAACTGCCTTCCTTGCAGGAAGAAGCTAGTTTATGGCTTAAACATTTCACAGAAACCATTAGCCTGGCTAACTTTTTCCTCTCTAAGAAAAATAATCTAATTAGTTCAAAACCTCTTATAAATTAATTTTGAATCTCCTTCTTCTAACTTAATTATTATTCTATTTGCCTTTATATCGTGAACTTGGAGAGGAAAATTGTGAAGCAAGGTACAGATGGCTACGAAAGCAGAAAGTCTGGGGATTTTCAAGAGCTCCATGCGAGGGAGGTGTGCAATTCTGATGTGAGCTCCTTGAATTCAAAGGTTTTGACAAGTTGTCCACTGGGGAGGAATATCAGGCTTTAACTTTTTAGACATTTGAGAGTGAGAGATCAACAACTCATGTTTGGGACCAACTGAGGCTGTCCAAGAGGAGCACTGGGGTTAGGGAGATTAAGATCATAACCATGATTTGCCCAGTGGCTCTAGTACTACTAGAGCTAGTAATGTTTTGGGACAGAGTATGGAAATCAACTTGGTGGTTTGTCCCTTTCCCTCTCCAAACTTTGCCCCTAGCCCTTTGCTGCTTTGCATAACCACTTTCATCCAGTGACTCCCTCCTCATGGCTCAGGGAGGATTAAGACACACGTGCTGCTTCAGCTACAGTAGTTCTTCAGCACAAGGAGTGTTCAACCCTGATCACAGGGCCTGTCCTTCCAGGGGAGACACCCCATGCAACAGCTGTCATTGGCTGTTCTCACACCACCTTTAAGCCTCTCTTTGTGTGGGTAGGGTAGTGCACAGAAATGTGTGCATGCAGTATATAGCAAACATTGTCTGGCCAAAGTGCTACTTTCAACATGGACTGGAAGCTGCAGGAAAGATGGTAGATGGAGACCATAGTTCAAGCCAGTTATGCACTTTCTTTGGGTAATTTTTCTTTTTACCTTGAAAGCCATTGGCAGCTCAATAATGTAGAGGTCAACATAGTCCAGCTGCAGGATCTTCAGGGTTTTCTCCAGTGTGGGACGCACCAGCTCTGGGGGGTGGCAGGTATTCCACAGCTGAGGAGGCAAGCACAGGCTCTTTTTTGGGTGCCAGGAGGAACAGTGAGCACCCTCCAGCTGACACCCACCACACCCCACACCCCCCCCAACTCTCTCCTGTCCTTCTGATAGACCCATTCTGCACAGTGCAAAGACATTGTGGCCTACATCAATACAAGACAATGGTGAGGGGAGTTATCCTGTCTTCTGCCAGAGGCAGATGTCAAGGTTAGGATAGGAATCCTTGACCAGGACTGCCCGAGTGCTGACCTAATAAAGACATTACAAATTTGTTTATTACAATACAGTTTCTTCTGACTGTATTGCAAACTCTTGCTCAATGAACTAAGGCAGATTCTTTTTGTCTTCTGAGCTTTCCAAGCTTATGCTTTCACTGGAAAACTTTGTTCCCTCAAGAAATCTGTGGTTAGTTTTACGCTCTGAGGCAGAAGCTCAGATCATGTGAATTAGCTATCGAGCAGCCAAGCACCCAGCACAAAGAGAATCTTTTGGTTTTCTCCTGTAGTCATGGAGTCAGAGTAGTAATTTACTCCCTAGTCCTCACTGAAAGTTGTATTATTGTTTAGTTACCATAACACAGGTGTGACTAGTTAAAGCACAACCTTCTCAACCTCTTTAAGCACAACTGCTTCCTTGCAGGGTTATGCCCTGAGGTTGCCATGGACTGTGCTCAGTTGATTAGTTTTCAGTACTATCTCTAACTGAACTCTGCTGATGAAAATCTCTTGCAAGAATAAAAACGTAGTGTAGTAATTAGTAACCAGGAGCTCTTAGTAAACTGATTGCTGAAGTTAAAAGGGACAAAAACCAGAATTAACACACAATAGGCAGTTAAAGTACAATTTGCTTGCACACAATAAGCTGGGCTACTTTATCTTCCTTTTTTCAATGCACAAAACTGACATGTAGAGTCATGTTGAGGTTTTGGACACCTTTATGTGGTGGAGAAAGCTGCTGTTTGTTGGTATGGTCATTGCCTAGCCAGTTCTTCCAACAAAGCTGGCAGTCACAGCATGTCAGGGTATGGAATGAATCTATTATTGAGACATGAAACATTTCAATTGCAATTTTCAGGAGAAGATAGTGATTATAAGTGTCAAGGGACATGGTCTGGGTAAGTTTTAAAGTATTTTAGATGTCTGGGATTTTTCTAACCCAGGGGAATAACTACCTGCTTAGTTCTGCAGAGCGAAGGGCAAGTTATCTTGAAGTTCAGTTGTACTGAGAGCAACACACCTGACCCTACCCTAACCTGACACACCAAAGCAGAGGCTGACACCTGGAAATTCATCCTAGGCCTTACTCAGCTGTATGTTGCAAGGTGTGAAGGGTTTGTTATCACTAAGATGGTGGATATGCAGGCTGAGATGTACTACAGTAAAGGGAACCAGGTCCTGCTCTTGAGAGTTTTAAGCTGCTCCACTGGATTTCATTAAAGCCTTTGGTCTGGGTGTTATTTAAGCATTTTCCAATTTCAGACTTTCATTTTACATGGAAAGTGAGATGATGTTTTGGACTTCAGTATAGGTAAGGAAATGAATCTGTATACCCTTCATGTTTATTTTGTTTCATTACTGTGTTTAAGAAATTTAGTAACCTGAGGTATGTTGGTAGTTCAGGAGTTTTTCTGAGTGCCCTTTCTAGCCCAGTGCTATTGAGCTCAGCACTTGCCAGTGAATATATTTCCCTTTTAAAATCTGCAGAGGTTCTAAAGAAGCAGCCTTTAGAAGCAGCAAACATTTGTACTGTGTTAATACATAGATCATGGAAACTTTAGAGTTTCATAACTGTTTTCATGATTTTGTACAAGTTATTGTATTATCTACCTAACTAGAACCCATGTAGATGTTTGAGCAGTCAAAGCTGCCAGCTGGCTTTGGCATTTCAGGACACCACATTTCCTGGAAATGTTACTTCTTGTTTAATGAAAGAAATATCCTGGGGTGAAAAAGGACACCAGAAAGGTCTTGCTATATAAGCCAAGTGAGATGTTGGCAGTTGATATAAAACCTCTAAAATTTCTGGATGCTGAGCTGCTCTGCCTGATCAGCCAGCCAGCAACAAGAGCCAAGTACAAATGCTGATGATTTCAACTGGCAGATGCAGCCCGATTGCACCAAGTTACTATTCCAGTAACTGCCACTCAGCGGGGCTGTCCTTGTTGATGGGACCAGCCTTCAGTTTGCATTGTCTCTGTTAAGGAAAGATCTGCATGAGGGACTTGAGTCTGAAGGGTCTTGGGAATTTCCAGCACTTCTGATGTCAGTAAGGCTGAAAACAAGACCAAATTTTGTTGTGCAGCCTAATGTCAGGAATGGCCTTCTCTGTCTACCATGTTTCCCAGAAGATGCAACTGTTTGTATCAGTCAGTCATCAACCAATAGCTGATCAGGCAGTGGCTTGATACTTGAATGTAGCTCATAAGACACATATGTTAATAAGGTATATAAAGCTGAAGATACACAAGCTCATACTGGGACCAATGTTGTTCAATATCTTCATCAATGACCTGGATGAGGGTATAGAATGTACCCTCAGCAAGTTTGCTGATGACACTAAACTGGGAGGAGTGGTTGACACACCAGAAGGCTGTGCTGCCATTCAGTGAGACTTACACAGGCTAGAGAGTTGGGTGGGGAGAAACCTGATGAAGTTCAACAAGGGCAAGTGTAGAGTCTTGCATCTGGGGAAGAACAACCCCATGTACCAGTACAGGTTGGGGGCTGACCTGCTGGAGAGCAGTGTAGGTGAAAGGGACCTGGGGGTCCTGGTAGACAGGAGGATGACCATGAGCCAGCGATGTGCTCTTGTGGCCAGGAAGGCCAATGGCATCCTGGGGTGCATTAGAAAGGGTGTGGTTAGTAGGTCAAGAGAGGTTCTCCTCCCCCTCTATTCTGCATTGGTGAGGCCGCATCTGGAGTATTGTGTCCAGTTCTGGGCCCTTCAGTTCAAGAAGGACAGGGAACTGCTGGAAAGAGTCCAGCACAGAGCCACAAAGATGATTAAGGGAGTAGAACATCTCCCTTATGAGAAAAGGCTGAGGGAGCTGGGTCTCTTTAGCTTGGAGAAAAGGAGACTGAGGGGTGACCTCATCAATGTTTACAAGTATGTAAAGGGTGAGTATCAGGGAAATGGAGTTAGGCTTTTCTCAGTGATGACCAGTGATAGACAAGGGGCAATGGGTGCAAACTGGAGCATAGGAGGTTCCATTTGAATATCAGGAAGAACTTATTTCCTGTGAGAGTGACAGAGCACTGGAACAGGCTGCCCAGAGAGGCTGTGGAGTCTCCTTCACTGAAGACATTCAAAACCCACCTGGACGCGTTCCTGTGTGATGTACTCTAGGTGATCCTGCCTGGCAGGGGGGTTGGACTAGATGATCTTTCGAGGTTCCTTCCAACCCCTAAGATTCTGTGATTCATAAGACGAGGGATGTCTAGTCCTAGTCCTCCTGAGAAGTTCAGAGATTATATGAAAATGTGTGAAAACCCTGCATTGTGATGGATCAAATTGGTTGCAGATTATTTTCCATTTCTACTTTTGAACTCTTTGAAGACTATAGAGGTGCTCTAATCAACTATCACCCTGAGCACCTGAAGTTTTGTCAAGCACAAAGAGGACACGAAAGATAAATCCACATGTGTCCCATCTTGCAGTCACAAGACAGGCTGGAATGCTACAAGTTGCAGCCCTGTGGCTTGCATGATCTGCAGTTTAGGGAACAATGGAACTTGCAATCAGGAAATGAAATGCAGTTTTGCAGGTGGCTCAGTGCTTGGGTAGTGATGATCAGCTAGGAAGATCATCTAGTGATTAGATCAGACAGCTGCGTATGAAAAGGCTTAATAAAGTAAGGTTGGAATCCTCATAAAGTTTTACTGAGAGATGCAGTTTCACAGAACCTAAAGGTCCATATGGGAAAATAAACTGTAGTGGAAGCAGTTGGGAAATCTGAAGACTCAGAATTGTCAGGACATCTGGTTCTAACATTTTGGCACAACTGTGGTTTTGATATGAAAAACTACTGGTAATTTGCAGTAATGATGCTATAAAACAATTGAAAGAAAATATTTTGACTGATTCAAATCAACATATTTGGCATATGAGAGACTGAGAGACTACCCTGATAAAGGTGGAAAATTTGAGGATATGAAGCTTTTCTCAGGATGGCAAAGCTGTTACCAGTAGAAACGAGCAGAGAACTTGGAAAAGAGTTGCATACTTTACAGATTGGAAGTTGCTGTACTTGGACATTGGTCTGTAGTTGCTAAAAATCCACTTGGTCTGCAAACTACCCAATCTGAATCTTAGTCTCACAGATCACAGATCTTAACTAATTTGCTCACAGTTAAATGGGCCTCTTATCCCATGGGATCTTTCACTCTAGGAACAGTGGTATTTATTTCCAAGTCTATTGAGTAACTTTTGTGGATTACGTCTTGTTTGGGAAAGGAGAAAGGGAAAATATTAGGCTGATATGGCCAAGCAGCACTCCAGGAAGGGGAACTTGAGGCCACAAACTTCATTAGAGACTGGACCATGAGTTTTCTGGAGCCACCTGATCTTAGTTCTTCAATGTGCAATGAGCTCTCTGTTTTATACCTGGGGTCTAGTCGTTGTAGTTGTAATGGCTTTTGTCAGACACTTCATTGGACAAGGGATTTCATTCTTCTAGGAGGTAATAAACTCTTATGGCTAAGACTTTAAAGCATTAACTAGTTCATGCATTACTCCAGCCTTGTTGCTCTAGAGCAGAAGTGTGACAAATTCTTTTCTCCAAGTAAGCTGAGTCATCATCCTATAACTTTTTAATGACAGGTGATGCAGTAACTCAGGGTGTAACTTGATGAGTAAGTTTCTGGCAGTAGTACCCATGTAAGTGCTTGCTGTTCTCCCATGTACAGACACTTACATGCACATGTTTGCTCCCATCCCTTGCATTGCACAATCTCACAGCAAACTGTATGGAGAATTGCTCTAACAGTAAATAACTCCTTTGCAGGATCATTGTCCAGGCTGGGCTCAGTGTGTGACTATACAAATAGTCAGGCCAGCACAACACATTGGTCATTAACAGCTTAGGCAGCACTGCTGAGTGTAGCAATGACCTAAACTTGCAGGTACTTAGAGTACTAGGTGGAATGGATGTTGGATTGTTCCCACTGGTAACTGAGCTTTCAGCTGAGAACAACAGCAATTCCTGTGCTTTACAGAAAATCTGGTGCTCATAAAGCTCTGAGGCGTTACGTTAATGCTAGGGAAGAAAAACAAAGGATGTTTGGTCTGGAAACATGCCAGATATTGACCAATGGCATTCTTAAGAAAGTCACTCAGAAATCTTGGATTTGGTGTAAATAACCTGAGTGCAGGCTCTCACCTTGCCACAGTAAAAAATGTCTTCTCTCTTGATCTTTCCTTCAGCAATCTTCTCCCGGATGGCTTGTCCCACTTCATGCTCATTGAAGTAGACAAAGGCACCGTCAATGTGGCGGTAACCAGCATCAATGGCAATCTTCACTGACTCCAAACAGGTACCCTTGGGAGTCTAGTGGGAGAAGAAAAAGAATAAGCATAGTTTCAGCCTCCTGCTCACCTCTCCTGCAATGCTAAAGAGTCCCTGAGATACGCACAAGATACGCTTAAGCTGGATTTCATCCTGTCTAACCACCCTGCACCTCCCCAGACACCTGCATTTCACATTCCAAATAAAGATGTGCTGTGCACTTTTCTCCAAAACTGTCACAAATGTGGGATTAGACTGGGAAAAGGAGCAAAGCAAAAACATTATCTGTGTGTCTGGAAAAGAGGGAATACTAGAGTTCTCAGAAAGTAGAATTGAATGTATTTGATATGAAAATTATTTAAGAATTTCTTATTTAGAATCAAGGATTTCTGGCAACAGACATTTTATCAAACCCCTTCCTCAAATGGAAGAGGACTTTTTGGTTGAGCAAAGCTGGTAAACCACTGGCCTGATCAGAGGTTTTTTGAACATCTTATGGCCCAGTAAAGCTTTCAGCAGAGCAGGAATTTGGATTTGACTTCTTTCTCCTCAAATCACCTTACTATTGGTGGTATCACAATCTGGAGGGTGATAGCTCTGGACTGTCTGCTGGCGTTCCCAATTTTAGGCAGTTGCTTACTGTGTGGCTAAGAACCAGCAGATGCTTTAGTGTACATTTATATACATCTTACTGCTTCAGTTTAAGATGATCCCAGGAAACCTCTCAATAAGTCCAAGTGGCATTTTTGTGCTGTGTGCTGCATTTATGTTTACTCTTCTTTCCTGAAATTCAGAGTAAGCTTTCTTTTTCAGAACAGTCATATTTTCTGTTAGCCAATGTGGCAAGCAAAATGCACGGAGGCCAAAGCAAGCAAAAAAAGGATACGTCTGGTTACTGAAATAATGTGACTGATGCTGAAATTGCACTGAGAGCGTCTTTCTGTTGCCACACTTCATATTATGAGAGGGCAGCTCTAAGTGGTGGTGGTCAACAGCTCTCAGTGACTGTTCTGCCCTTTTCATAGGTATTGCTGTGCTGTGACAGGGAGATCTGATTCACTTAAAGGAAAATTAAAACAGGGTGAGTCAACCTGCTCTGCTGTGCTGCTGTCAGCCTACACCAAATGCCAATAGATGAATTTTGTTACCTCCAAGTGAAGGGCCAAGACAAAGCTGCTTCTCCTGTGTGGAAAACAGATGCCAGAGACATCTGGAAATGAGACAGGCTATGAAGAGAGGTTTTCATATTTGTTAGTTTTGCTGATGCCAAGGAAAGACAAGAAGCGGGACTAGCAATTGGTGCTGTTGGGAAGGATCCCTTTTCACCACAGCAACCAGTCCCACTCCTCTCCCTCCAAGCTGCACTTTCACAGCAGCCACTGTCTTGGTTGTCTAGAAGTCTGCCATAAAATAAGCAGCTGCTCTTCCAACGCCTGATGAATTAGAAGTTATGAAACTCATAGCTGCCACAGGATGCTGCAGTGACCAAGGACACTGGTCTGCCCTTTCATGTTCACAGAAGAAAGATCTGTGAAGGACTGTTGGAGACACATTGGGTCAACCTCTCTGTCTGCCAGTCCTGGAGCTGTAGGTTGCTGATAGATTATTCTGGAGTAATGGAACCACATCCCTGCTGGCTCACTCTGCTCTTCTGCATCCCACCTGTGCTGGCAGCTGTTGAACACGACTGGACTGGCTTCTGTTCACACTCAGGTGGGACTTTTTGCTCCAGGATGCAGTTAATAAAGGTTATTTAAAATGTAAAGCCCCTCATTTTTGCCCTGATTTATTACAGACATGATTGAGGGCTGAGAGGTAAAATGGCACAATTTGGCCTACTAAAATATTTACAGCAGTGACGACACAACATTGTCTGCTTAATTAAGAGACAATGAAATATTCATTTGGCTGCTTGGCTGCTTTCACTCTGGGAGCCTCCCAAAGGCACACTCAGCCCCTGCCAGGGCCCTTTTCTAGTTTTTGGTAGGATGTAATGAAGACCATGGCAGTTAAATGCCTTTCAGGAGCAGTCAGCAGCTAGTTTTCACTTGGAGCACGTTGGGCAGCGCTACAGAAGTGCGAGGTATGGAGCAGTGACAGCCTCCAACATGTTCACTGCTTTGTATTTGCCTGGACCTGCAAGAAAGGATTTGAGGAAGGCAACAGGCAAAAAGCTCTGACACGAGTACTACAGGCCCACAGTTACTGATGACAGTGACCTCAGACCTCTGTTTCAGCACTGAGCTGCATGAGGCTGTAGCCATGGGTGCAAAGTTCAGGCTGACTAGCACAGAACCAACATCTTACAGGTCTTGTGACCTCAAGTCTAAGTGATGACTAGCTATCTGAAGGAGGAATATATTTTTTAAAGTGCCATCACTGTTTTCACTATGAAACCTGATTTTTCAAACAGTGTGACTTCAGACTGTTTGACTTCTACAATTCAAGTGTATGAAAGCAGAACATCTAGAGCATAGTGACATATTACCTTAATATAGATGTTTTACAAAAGAGGTTTTGGTTGGTTGGTTGGTTAGGTGTTGGTTGGTTGGGTTTTTTTGGTGTTTTGGTTTGGTTTTGTGTTTTTTTGTTTTTCCCCTTTGTTGAAGAGCCTGAAAATGGGGTGTGGGCCTGATCCTAGAATTTCCTCTCCCTTCTCTCTACACTCATGAGAGATTGCATGAACATGGCTCCCAGTCGTTTTCTCAAGCTGCAAACTAAACTCTACCAAGCGAGGAAATGTTGATTATTGAGTTCCATCTTCTCTCAAACACCAGGGCCAGTTTGGTCAATAACCGAAGCAGAAGGAACAGGTGAAGAAGGGTAGAGTCTTGCATACAGGGGAACAGCATAAATGGAGACTTGGAGAAGCATGAAAGAGGAAAACGAGAAAGGTTGTACTTACTGCAACTGCCTTTGTCTGAATTGGTTAGCTTACACTAGAGCTGAACTTCTATGCATTTCTTAATGTTTTTTATGGGACTTAACACACATTTGTTCAAATAACCTCATGAAAACTTCTCCATCTCAATCTTATTCTTCATGGGCTGAGAAGGCTTTTTTTTTATTAGGCCTTGATTACCAATGGCCGGACATGGGCTTACATTAAATATAAATGTTTTTATTGCACTAGTTAATTTCATCTGATGTGGCATATTAGTTCTGACCTATTCTGATCTAAGGTGCTTCACATAAAAAGGCAAGGCAACCTAGGAAACAGTTCTTGGAAAATCTTGCCTTTATTGAACCACCCTAGCTGAAGGCCTGTGACATCTGCAGGTCTGGAAACTTTATACCATCTGTTTATTTTCATTCTAATGGAGAAACTATCATTTTTAGCATTTCACATATCTAATCCTTCCAAATCCTGAAGTAATGATCTGTGGTAAACTGTGCTGATGAGTTGCACAGGCTAGTCATGTTGTGGTTTTGCCACTTTTTAGAAGCGTTGCCTTAAATATTGTATCTTATTTCACTGTTTCCTGACAGACTGTATTAAATCCGGATGACTCAGATAACCACTGTTCATCCATCTTTCCATCAGAGAAGGCACAAACCTGTATCTTTCCTCTCTGCTCTGCTGCCCAGCCTGAGGGGTTTTAATCTCTCCTGTCTTTTGTGGAAATAAAGTCTTTAACTAATAGTGCCCAGATCCGGGATTACCAACTGAAAACCAACTTTTACTTAAGAGTAGATAGAAGTTTGTGATATGACTGCTCTCATGGCGTTGTAGCTGATGGAGCAGTTCCTCCTAGGCTCCCTGCCCACTAAGCATCCAACTTTACCAGGGAAGCAGATCTCCTCCTCCTTGCTGCAGATTATACTCACTATCTAAGATTATACTCACATTATCTAAGATGTGGTTTTCTATGCTGTTTGCTCATTTCAGGTAGGTCTTCATTCTTGCACTGTTCCTATACAAGCTCATGCTTAGAGCAGCACAAATGCCTGCTCAGATGCTGAAATGTCTCTGTGCTATAAACCTTTGAGCTTTGTCAGGAGTAATTCAGGACACTTTGATCTTAAGACAAAACTTTGTTTCTTTATTACATTTTAGCTTGATGCTTAGCTGTAATTAATGATTCTGCTTCTAATCAGCATGCCCTGCAACTATACTCCTGTGATCAAGGACTGCTGGTTTAAAACTGAAATTTTAAAACCACTTGTACGCTGTAAGTCAGATTTTTATCTTCACTGCTCTTACAGTCAGTCACTAATCTGTTCCAAAAAGGTCTTAAATTTATTACAAGTTCTACGATAAAAGAAAAACTGCTTGGTTCACTAGAAACACTCACTCAATCAATAATAACTCCTTCAATAGCATCTAGGTTATTTTTAAGATCATGGAGTTTAAGGAAACAACACAGACAATTATTCCCTCTATCAATCAGTAGCTTATAAACTTGCTGTTTTACCCCCACACATGACAGATTAAACCAGTATCCATTGCCTTCAGGTTCCATGCAGACTCAGATTTGCACCTTCACTGAAAGAAGGAAGAGGCAATCTGGCCCCTTCTCCACAGATGAAGTAACCAACTGCCCAGCCACTACATTTTATGAGTCTGAAAAAGCAATGTGCTTCATCAGTTCTGGCTGTCTGAAAGGGTCTGCTCTTTTTTTCCTCTGAGACCATGAACTTTTTTATTTTTTAATTTTTATTACATATGCCTTGCTCTCATCACTTTTTGTCAAAAACTATTCTCCGTACCATAGAAAATGCACAGCTTTAATTTTGCACATGGTTGCATGTGACCAAGCTACAGGAGAGTATTTTTTCTGCAGGTATACCCATGAATTTTACTGTTCCCTCTCAAGCAGAACAGTATTTGCTTAGCAGTGTTAGTGGTTATCCTACTCATTACTGTTAGTTAGTGTTGCATTTAAGCTGCCTTCAATTATTTTGCTTTTTCTGTAGCATTCTTTTTTTGGTCAGCAATTTCCATCATCTTTCCAGCTGATACGAAAGGGATTCTGGTTACCTCCAAAGACAAAGCTAATAAGACACCTTGGCAGCAGATTGTAATCTCACAAGACACCTTAGCAGCAGA